TATTGGTTCAGCATCCCCTATACGAATTTCGTGTTCTGCCAAATCCGCCTGCGTCAGATCGGTGTCGTTCACTGCCCAAGCTTCAACATAATTTTCTATAATTCTTTTCGTCCTGACTTTGTTCTCCTCTGTCATCTCGAGCGAGTTGACTACTAAAACTCGGCTCCAGTCGGTCGTTATCCTATCCTCTTCGCTAACGCTATTTTGCGGTAAGACTGGCCGATTCCACTCGGCACTTTGCTAGGTGTGCCGGGTAGCAATACCCAGCGTCCGACTACTGGATCGCGTGCGCTGGGGACAGGGGCGAAAGTGATAGGTAGAGGGATGGGGAGGGTTGCACGCGAATGGGAGAGAGAGGGTGTCTGTTGGAATGTGTCCCGATACGGCTCAGGAGCACGGCTGGGGACAGGATAGAGAGGAAGTGTTTAGAGGGAGGGGAGGGGGCGAGGGTGCTAGTGAGGAGTTGGAGGCGACAAATGGTGGCTGTGTTTGGGGCTGGTGGGTGTCAAAACGGAGCTCCGGAGGAACTGGATGCAGAACAAAGAAGGGGGACAACGGTAGTAGGCAGGATTTCCAAGCAAGAGAACAGAACGGTACTGCTTTTACTCAGTGTTAGCAATGCAAATTTGTAGCGTAAGGAAGCAAAAGCTATTCTGTAAATCAATGGTCAGTGAGGACTTTCCCCTTTTCGTGAAAAATTGGGGCTTAGGTGAAGCTGTGAATGACTAAATCCTTTTAGATTTACAGAAAACTACACAGGAGAATGCAGTATTGCTTCCGCCAGTCCGCTGAGTTGAAGCGATTCCTAATGGCCTTTACTGGGCAATGAATTTCTTAATCAGCTTAATGAATGCAAGTGAATTTGTATTAATTGGTGGCAAACACAGCGATATTCATGCCATCACAGCTGGACTACAAAGAAGTTAACCAGCTAAAGATCGCAACTTTTTTACTAAATGGACTACTAATTTTCGGCCCTCAGCTAATTTCCACGCCTCTTCTGTACCTATCGGCTGTGTCCACACTCATAAACATTATGGTCTCCTCCACTTCCATCCTGAACATCAGTTTGTTTAAATCATAATGATCGCCCTAGCGTTCATGCACATCGGGCCCCAAAAAATAGCTCATGCCTTGCCATCCCTCTCCCCACCCCCCGCATCCTCTGCAATCCACCCTCCCCCCCTCTCTGAGCCCTTCTCATACTCCGCGTATCCGTGGCAAAAACCACCAGCATGGTTCCTCTTCCAAACAACACCCTCTCCCCCTCTTCCTTATGCGGCC